CTTCTCTGCTTTCCGAAAATATATGATTGCCCTCAAGGATAGTTGGATTCCTAGCATAGTCCAGACAACTGGAGGCGGAGATTTGTGGCCCAGAAAGACATCCAAAGGCTCAGGCTTGCCGGGACCAGAGAATACTCCAACAACAAACGACTGTCCACGGGTCGGATCGCTGACGCGACCGAGGATTGGTCATAGGCACTGACCAGACACTTTAAAAAGCCTCATTCCGTCAATGTGCAGCTGAACGCGAATTGTCAGAAGTAAAGTTGACGACCGATGTTGGAGTTCATCCTGAAAAGCACGTCTAAAGCCCCGACGGACATAGGTGCCGTTAGAAAGCGACTTGCCAGCGCAAGTCCGGGTGTCTGAAATAGCGTCCGCGGGTCTTTTGACACCTCTGGGTAGTACAGTTGCAAAATCTGGAACAAAACGTGATCATTGACTGCGGCATCTGGGCCTTCAAACGGAATCCCTTCAAATGCGTTAGGAAACATTTTCCACTAAACGCATCCCCGCAGTCATCGGCTTCGTCGCTGTCTACAGCCTTAAAGCAACTATGGATAAGATACCTGCCCATGGAAACCTCTTAGTTGAGGTGGGGCACCCGCCGTTCCAGGGATTGCTCTGCCACTAGAGACGACATAGACAGAAGGGAGGGTCGTCAGTGGCGGCGCACCATGCCATCTTCGCGCGCCTATTCCACTTGTGGATAGTGCTTCGGTGAAATATCCAATAATTTCGGTCCACATTTTCTTCGATTTAACATATAAAGTCGATACACAAATGATACATCCACATACACAACACTCGTTCAGTAAGTAGATGTGCCGTTCGGATCAGTAGATGTAATTCCACTTCTATCAACTTTAAGGAAACTGGTACTCATAAAAACAATAGATTCCGTCAAATAGAATCATGGAAAAAGGCAATGGATTGCGTAATGCAGTCTTACGAACGTCAATATCGACAATATCGATCTGGCGTGCACGCAGTCAGCGTAAAGGTTCCCTCCACACGACCCACTTAAACAAAGCCAATTGTCAGCTCAGAGAATTATAATTTTTTACGCATCTTATCGATCGGGAATATTTGACATAGAGCGCAGAGCATATATTTTACTATAAGACCATAAAATCTGCTAGATATAGTGCGCTCAAACTTCACTGAAAATGAAAAGAAATTTGTCAAAATTGGACGGGACCTACTCCCACATAGTCCCGACTTAGCTCCGCGTAATGACGGGGCCACGTGTTGTCAGGGTAGTCATCCCTTGCACGTACAAGACATTGCCGTCAACTCAGTTTCAGGCAAGATGCATCTAAACAGGCTAAATCAAGGATTTTGTTGGGCGCGTATAAAGGTATATTTTTAATTGAAATTAGGATAACTCCAATTAATTGTCACAGTAGATAAAACAGAGGAATTCAGCGCAAGTAATCCTAAACTGAATTAAAGGCTCCGGCAAAGCAACTGTAAACTGTTACTTCTCACCACTTGGGGGTT